TTTTTTTTTTTTTTTTTTTTAATTTTATATTGACGAAACGATCGTGTATCGTGATGGCGCAATGACGTCTGAAGTCAAGAGACTCATTAATTTCCAAAACCGTTCGATCGATTTGCACGCGAAACCCATTCGCAGCAGGTTGCTGTTTCCGGTGTACCTCGATACGTAATCACAGGGGAGATCCATATGTCCGTGACGATCGGATTGTCAATCAGTAAACGTCACTTCCGTTAAAAACATCGGCCGCCGTGGAATCGCGGCGCCTCTCGTTCGATTCCCGCGCACATCGGTTTTCGATTCCGGCCTCCGAGTTTCTACGATCGGACCACCCTCGACATTGGTGCTAATTGGGCAAGTGATTTGAAACAAATTAAACTGGCGAATATTTCGATTTGTCTTTTTGCCTTCTCTTTCTATATCTTTTTTAAATCAGCGCAATTAAAAAAAAAAAAAAAGAAAAATGAAACAATCAACGTTGCGTAACGAACAACAATCGCAACGTAACAAGAAATCTTTGGCAACAGATGAAACAACGTTCCGATTAATGCCGGTGCCCTCCGTCGTGGTCGTTGCCGTTGCTGTTGATAACGTGAGCGAAAAATCCATCCTTTCCAGCGCGATATTTCACCGTACGAACATTACCGCCGGGCTCTTTTATTGTGTACTCGCCGACCACTTCTTTGCCTGCAAAGAACCAGCAATAAAGTATTATCGAAACGTTATCAAGGGGGGGAGGGGTGCGAGGAGGCAAGCCTTTCCCGAAATAATCAAAGTCGATTGATAATTTCACGCTCGATTGCCCGCGGTCTATTCTCGTTACCAGCAAAGAGAATTAATCGGAAATTATTTTTAGTTGTTCTTCTGCAGAAGCAATCGAAGTATTAATTCATTGCAGGTGGTTAATTGCAATTTATATAAACACGAGATACCATAGAAGGGGAAATTGCAATTTCCTCGAAGGAACGAGGATATTTTAATGCTCCTGTTGTGTGGATGAGAAATGAAAAAAAAAAAAAAGACGAGCTATCGAGTAGTTAACGTATCTCTATCATATAGATAGATCAAAAGGTTATCTTTAGTTGCTGCAATTACTTCGTTTCACGATGCATTGCGTGAAACTTGAAGATATCATGCTCGCGCGCAAATACTCTCTCATAGACGAAGTGCAGCTAGTTGGCGGGTTAATATGGCAAAGTGAAAACGTAGTAGATTCGTTAGCAGCGACGTCGTATCGCGAATTATTTCCAAGGTAAATTTCCTTCGCCGCAAATAATTAAGGAAACCACGCACGCTTCTCGTCGCGGTGGCGGCGAGGGCGTCAAACGCATACCGCGACACCGATATTGTTCTTTGAGCATTTCAGCTCGGTGATTTCGAACTTTGATTTCTTGACATTGGAATCAAGTTCAATCGAGACGTTGCCTTGAACACCGAAGATTACCTAATAAGTAATTACTTTCTTCGTACAATGTTACGATCCTGTAGCAACTTTATTAAAGAGTCGGGTTAATTAGATTCGTAAACCATGGAGACCTTAAAGGAGACGTGTCGTGCTAGACAGGTGTAAAGGAAAAAGAAAATTTATCTTTCTTTCTCATTCGTGCGTTTAAAGTGTATGTTTTTATTTAAAGTTTGATTTTCTTCGTATCTCAAAAGCATAGATGATTCTACGTGAAAAACAAATGGAAAAGAAAGAATGAAATTTTTTTCATTAAACTGTTCGTTTCCGAGAAAACCGAGCTTGAAAATTCGGCCACGCATAGATTAAACCCGTGCTGGACAGGAGCAAGTAATCGACACGGAGGATATTCTTCCCGTGTAAAAGTAAGCGAGAAATTTTTTAATTTTAAAACTTCATTTTCATGAAAATGGATTTCAAATATGTTTTTATTAAGAATTGTCTCTGCCTATCTGTACTTAATAACATTCTTTTTTTCATTTACTTTCTCTCGTGGAATAATTTTCTGTTGATTATTCCCCTTCTATCCAATCAAGAAATTAATTTCATTCAAGCACACTTAAGAAATATTCAAAGTTGATTATCTCGGAAACGCAGATTTCGGGGGAAAAAAATTTTGTTCTTTCCTTTTTCATTCGTTCTTTACACACAGATGCTGTCCTTGAGAGTGATACCCTGTACATTGCAAATAACATTCTCACTAATTTTTCCATTGCACCGGATTTAAAACTCGAAGCCACTCGACAGTGTTTCTACTCAGTACCTATTAAACTATCTACCGGAAACAAGCTCCTCGACTTTTCGACGTTCGAGGGCCATTAATGTAGGCCACCGTCTGGCTTTAATTAGGCCGATTACGTAGAAACGAAGGTGGAAAAAGCCGTGGATGTTAGAACACTCGCGACAAACTCTCGAGTTTGAAAGTGTGCGCAAGACAACTTTCCAAAGCGCTCTATGCGCTCGGAACGTCTTTCGAATTGCAGTAAACTAATTAATCCTCGCCCAGCCGACGCGACGCCGAGTTTCTTTGACCCATTTGATTCATGTTTGATATCGTTCAATTCTATTCTTTTTTTTTTTTTTAAATTCTTAGTTGAATCTCTATATAGAAGAAATATTGAGAAACGAGTCGATGATTTCGACATAAATGTGCTATTAAATTCAAAAGTATGTGTAAGCAATGATCACAAATTTCACACAAACTGATCTGTAAAAATCACAAAATAAAAGAAAATATTCGACACACGAAATATATATTTTATTGCAATATTGTAATAAAACATATACACGTATTTTATAAATATATTTACGACACATTTACATTTTTAAAACATTTCTAGCCATTCATATTATAAGCAGTATTTCAGCTACATAAGTCTGAAATATAGATTTCTAACGAGTATCCAGGTTTGAGTTACAGGAATCCACTATGTGATTGCTTTCATTTTCTCCGAGGGTTAAAAGACACGACTTAAAGTTTTCCGCGGGCGGAACAGTGATGGGAAAGTTTAAACTTCAGACCAAAATGCGATACTTTGAAACTTCTTTTTTGATATGCATCTTACGATTTTTTGCGCTTCTCCGTGAACAAAGATAAAATTATTACTTTGCACTGTTTGCGTAAGTAGGATGATTTCAAAAATAAAAGCAGTAATTACTAAATAGTAATCATAATAATCATAATTAATCGATCAATTATTGTTAAAATAAATCTTGATTAATTTTTGTAATTTTCGTAATCATTAATCGATAATTTTTAAATTATTAGATGATTAATTTATATTTTATTACGATCTGTAATTCTTCACATTGCTGTGGCACGTTCAAACGTCAATCACATGGGGTTATGTTAGTCAGCATAATTAAATGTTATTAAATCTTTTAAAATTTGAGTAGTAGACCAAGATCATAATGTAGAATATTTTTAACCTGATAATACAGTCGAAAAGAAGAAAAGTATATCGGAAAGAAAAAATAGAATTTTCTCACCAAAGGCTTCGTTTCAGAGAAAATCGAATTTAAAAGTTTATTAAGGATATTTGAATTTAGTCAATGTTGGATTGGACAGGAACAGGTAATCCATAGGAAGTTACTCGCGAGGATAAGTCGAAAACGTAGAATACAATTCCCTCAGTTTTAAAATAAAAAGTTAAAATTGAATTAAAAATTAAATTCGGAGCTTGATCGAGTAGACATGTACCAAACCGATTCTTGACCAAAAACATTGAAGCTCGATTTTCTGGGGAACGAACTATTAAATGAAAAAATTCTGTTCTTTCTCTTCGATTTATTTTTCAGGTGGAATTATACTTTTCCCATCGGATCTAAAATAGCTTGTATTTTTACTGTTGGTGATCACTCTGCGTGCGAGTTACAGCAATTTTTTTTTTTTTTTTTTTTTTTTTGACAGGCAAAGATTAATTTCCTTTCAGATTATGCTCAACGTACCGTCTCTATGTTCTTTTTGGCCATGATAGTCGCCGGTGTGATGGTCCTCGACGCCGTACGAGAACTCGTAGTGAGGATGTGCCACGTAATCGTGATGGTGGTGACCGTGCTTGTCTTTCCAAGTCACCTCTTGAGCATCACCTATCACAGGCCCGTGGAAATGTTGGAAAGAGTGCGCGTGACCGTCAGCTTCGACTTCCTCGTCGAATAAAATCGACAGGACCAAAATTGCTGCGACGAACTATCCGGGAAACAATTAATTTCGAATCAATTATATGCGTATTGAGAATACTCGTTTCTCCTTTTACGACACTGAAAGGGAGTATGTTATAAAATTCACGCTTTATCTCTATCTACAAGTTTTGCAAAAGCGAAAATTTTGAGAATATTCGAAAAAGAAACGAGAAGTAAAAGTCTAAAGGCATTTCTAATCTATTGTAGACAGTGATTAGCCAGTGTCACAAGCAAAATCGGTAGAAGTAACAGAGTAGCAGATAGACTGTGACGATTCTGTTGGCGCGTTTCGATCTACGATTAAACGATTGATCGGTCGCGTCGCTTGGAAACTCGACGTTTATCTATCACCGATTAGACAAAAATGAGGAATCGAGGAGTCTCGATCACACTCGATGTACACTCACTTTAAAAGCCATACCACTGTCGACTGGGTCGGGCTTTGCTCCGACAGAACAGATAGAATATAGATCGAACGATCGATACGGTTCTTTCGCGATTGTCCGAAAACTGAATAGGTCGGTCCGATGATATTGTTCCTTTTATAGGTCCACTTTAAAAGTTTCCCTCAGCTTAATTCTTCTTTGGATCCATGCCCGGAACTTTGCCGCTGCAGACGTTGCAAAACACAATTATTCAAGCGGGCCGAGGCCGCAAAAAGCGTCGCACGGTGCTCGCTCGAGCGCACATTAGCCAATCCTGGCACACTAATGGAGTCCGTTGGGAAAGAAAACGAAAAAATGGAACGCAGGAAAGGCATTCGTTTTCTTCGGCCGGGCGACACACGCGGTATCGATTACAGGATCGCCTGCTGCTCGTCATGCACGATGGACCCTGCAGATTGTGTTACGAGTTTCGACTTTCTTCTTCTTAGCGGCTGTTGTTCGCGGCTGCCGCGATCGCACGCTCCATTTCGCCGGGAAACTCCGTCTCAGATCGAGATTGTTCAGAAACACGGCTATCGTAACTTAACGACGCGCCCCGACGAAACTACTACTACGTTCCTTTGGTTCCCCTTGTGTTCGCATCGTGTCATCTACCCTTAAGAGATGCGAACGAGCACGTGCTTCAACGTAATCGGCAGCTTAGTTGGTTCGAGCTTAGTTTAGTTTACGACGAGTTGGATTCTTATTTTTTACGCGTGCAGGTTGAAAAACTTTCGAGCTAACCGAGATTCTTTACGTAGAAAAGTTTCCGCCGAAGCGAAATAAAGTCTAAGATGCTGCCTCTATAGTGTCAAACTGTACTGGCGCTCGCCATCACGAACAAAAAGCTATTTTCACGTTGGACGGATTGTGGATTGTTTGGTGCGTGTCGTTTGTCTGGGGGAAAAAATCGCGTCCGTGGAGATCGTGAAAATAAATTTGCGGGAAGCCAAGGAATTTTTTAGTTCGGTGAGCGATCCTTGCGTTATTAACAAAAACTGCAGGATTCTATCTGGCCTGTCGCAGGAGTGAAAACGGTTCTCTCTCGCCGGCAGAGAAACGGAACGGAGAGATGAAAAGAGGACGGATTCTGGCACGCGATGTGCTGGAGCGGCGGAAGTGCTCGAAGAGGCGCTCGGCTTTTGAGTTATGACACTTTTTGAGTCGAGAAGTCGCGATGTGAATGGCGCATCCGAGTCCAGCGTAATATCATAGCTCGATCTCAGGGTTGGACCCGGCGATAAATCTGCCTTAAATAAGATTTGCCGAGGACACACTCGGTAGCGAAATAAAACGAAGTCGAGAGGCAGCAGGAAGTTTTACTTTCCTTCGATGTCGTTCCGCCGACGTGAGCGATTGCTAATTTTCAGTCGGCAGTTTAATAGAAACCGTCACAAATATCTGACAAAATATCGTATCCTTTGAGCACGTTCCAGTATTTTTCCACTGAATTTTTGTCCCGACGGTGTTTTCAACTGGTGCTGTTAGTGACACCTAATTACTAACTCTCGTTTTTGCTTTGGCTCGTGCGTCGCGACGCTTGGCAAAATTTTTCTTATCGGTGAAATTGCCTTGGCTGTCAATTTCATTGGCTGGCATTGGTGTTTTATGCTACGTGTGACGCACACGTGCCCCACCGTATACGCGAAAATACGCGATGCTCGAGTTCGTATTCATATTTCAATCTCGCGGGACGAACTCTTGGAATACAACACGCCGCCTATTCTCGCAAACGAGAAATTGGCACACCTCGCGCGATAAATCACCGAGTTCCATGAATGATAGATACATTTCCAAATGTTCCTTACTTTCAGCTTATTTGCTTCGAGTTTCATTGCTGTTCGCGTATACTGCGCGCGAGATAGTCGTTACTCGAGCAGTGAGATCATAATGAGAAGAATTTTGCCATCATTATTTGTCACGTATTTGTCATTTTATCATTTTTTAATATCTTATTTGGCTAATTGTTTTCATTTCATTCCATTGTTTTCTCGACGATCTACCAAGAAAGAATTCTGTTGAAAAATCCACATAATTTTCCTGATCCTCCGTTTCGCACATGGCCGAACAAAGCCTATCTGAAAGTTCAATTTCCTCTTCAAGCCTACATTCATCGATAGTATTCGTGGTCCTTATCTTCCAGAGAAATCAATGTTAATTAACATTCGAAATCGATTGGTCAAACGATTTATAATCATCCGTTGCAACTTGAAGTCACGCGATCAGTGTTGCACCTAACAATCTCACCAGAAGTTCGATTCCTTTGTCTTGCGAGTCATGCAATCGCAGCGGTGAAGCTTTAAGTTCGTAAACGTACGCGTACGGAAGCGAAAGACGGGAGAGAATGCAAAGTATTCTGCTAGCAGATGTTCCCTTCTGTGCACATGCCAATGATTGCCGAGTAATATCGCGATACGGGGAGCAGACAGTAGGGTGGAAGACTGAAAAACCGAGGGGTAAATCTCGAGATTAACGTCGTGGTCGTTGTCCACATAACGCATTGGTAGACTCTTTCATCCCCAGTCGCACGCAGCAGTCGATCACAACGAGCCCTTCGAGGGATGATGATCGCGTTCCAAGTACTGCTGGTAGAAATTCCGCGAAGATAGTTCCGGGTAGAGAAAGACGAATAGTTCTATTTGCGAGTTGCGAGCTGCACCGACCCCATCTTCGTTTCCTTTCCGTTCTTCGTTGTGTTTCGTTCCATCGACGTTCTCTCGTCTGTCGATTTCGGTGAAGAGCAGAAACGTGGCATTCCTCGCCGGCATATTTCGCTTGCCGAGGCGTCGACAACCGCTGTTCGTTTATGGGTCACGATCCTCGTTCCTTTGGGACGGATGCGCTATCTAGGACTCCCCCTTGACCTCCACTTGCGGTTTAGGAATTCCAAAACAACGAAGAGACCGGGTGCAATTCATCCTTCCTTCTGTCTGCCACCGCCTCGAAGACGTTCGCTGATATTCGTCCTGACTTTTGATGCAACGATCGTGGAATACTCTGATACGCGTGCATTTGCACGAGCTGCGGTTGGTGCTCGGTTTCCCGTGATTTCGTGAAAATCCGAGGGAAGACGGTCCGTCGAAATAATATTTACATTTCCAGAAAATTGAAATAATACGTTTTTTTCTTTATCACGTAGCTTTTTATTAATCCTCGAAGAGGGGTGCGTTCAATAAAAATCATAAATTCACGGAATACTTCCATCTTTCCCTTTCTTTATACAACGTGTCCCATTTCAATCTATAAATGCAATTATCTTTGAAACTATTCATCATTTAAAGACCGTCTTAAATGCACTTTCTCTGTTTTTAAGAGGGTAATTTGTAGTATCTACATCTAGTTTGTCAGATAGACGTGTGTAGGAAAAATAGTATGAAGATCGTTATTATTTTTCAAGTATAATTATCTAATTTTTTTTTTACGTCAGTCGACGCAGCAGATCATTTTTTGTAGAAAAATATTGTAACTTTAATTTTGTAAAATCTATCGTATGAAAGATGAGAAAAGGCAAGAGCAGTATTCTTGTATACATCTTTTATGCATAGACTTTGTACAAATATCTCCTCAATAGACGTAGATAAAATAATACTTTTTTTTTGTAGGCTTTCGTGTACGATTTGCTTCATCAATTGATGCAAACAAAATTACATAGTTATACTTGAAAAAATAGAACAGTGACCTTCATATCTCTCTTCAAACTAACAAAAGTGTACTAACAAATTACTCTCAGAACAGAAAAAAAAAATAATGCATTTTAAACGTTTTTTAAATGACGAATAGTTTCGCAGATAATTGCATTTATAGATTAAAATGAAACATTCTGTATAATGCAATTTTCATTAGACGATACTTAGCATTCGATACGAATCAAAAGTGACTCGGATCTACAATCTTCCCGAGAGCAAGCCATTTTTCTAGAAACATACAGAAGAGTTCTGTCTCTGTCGAATGAACGACCGACGAAAAGAATTTTGAAAGATCTTCGGTAATATTTTTAGGTACGACCGAACCGAGTTGGACGTATTCCAGCGTTCTCTCTTCACGCGAATCTCCGCCGGCGGATATAGCTTGGACATTTTCCCTGATACCTTTCACGATGTCGGCTGCGCTAACGAGCCGAAGCATTTTCCTTGCTAATTTTCCAAGTGTCCCGATTACAGGCTGATAGCCAGCGCTTGGGTCACGCCGGTGTCGCCGGTTAATTGGTTTTCATGCCAGCGCTGAAGTTACGGATACCAAGCTTGGATTATCGTGGGTTGTAAACAGCGGTTTCGCCGCGATATACGCCATCCAGAAGGGGTCACGGCTCTGGCTTTCGTTTCGGAAGAGACGCTCTCCTCCTCCTCTCCACCCCGCGCGCTCTCGTACTTTCGTTGTTGTCCTGTTACTACTTA